GTAAATCAAGTAATTTTCTCTTAAGATAATTCATTTAAAATTTTGCATGCTTGCTTTCTAATGACATAACTAATAACATTTTTGTTTCACTTATTTTAATGATTTGAATTTGCACAGATGTTAAAAGATAAATATAGTTCTTATTTGAAAAATACTTAAAAATTTAAAAAATTATGAATACATTCAAAGCATTATTCTAGTTAAAGCTTAATTAATGCATTATAAACTTAGGAGTTTAAAATTTGTTTTAAATAAGAAATTGAACATTTGAAATTGCACTCTGAGCTCTGTGATATGAATAAATCCTATTCAAAAAGCTTTAATTTTAAGTTTAAATAGTTGAACTTTTATAAATAGTTATTAGTGAGCTACTTATACATTTTGTTAAATATTTTAGCATCTTATTTTAAAGACTGATAAAAATGCTCTTTGGGGAAAATTCAGAGAAATTTTGTTACAGCTTCCACATTGAACATTTTTCCTTTGGTTTTAAATACTTAAAAATCCATGAGGTTTCTATTGATCTTATCAGCAAGTTCTAGAAAACCAGTTCTTTGAAAAAAACATTTTTTCAAAGGATTGTGAGTCAGTGAATAAACTGGTAATGAATATACTGTTATGGAAGAGTGGTAACAGTGGTAACAAAGTAGGGAAGTAATACAGGGAAAACTTTCTAAATGATTTGCTGTCCTGAAAGACATTTATATCTAATAGTGCATAATTCATTTTTGAGGAATAATAACATATTAATTAGTAAGTATAATATTTAGAAAAATTATGAAAATGTTTCTTCTCATAATCAAATTTGAATTTTCAGAAAAATCCTAATTTTCAATTGCAGTAGCTTACTATATCTGGGTGTTTCATATGTATTTTTCTATTGTAAGCTTACTTTGCTTCTTTGGAAATTGATAGGGATTTATCAACCTAATATTAATTGTTGATCAGTTGTTATTTAATTAGCCTTTTTGTTAATTATCCAGGCTGTTTACCTCTTTTGCATTTTTTATGGTTGATTTACTTCCACAATTCTACCAAAAATTTAAAAGGAACCAAATAGAAGCCAAAATTTCTAGCCTTCTATTATTATTACTTGTTATTCAAGTTAAGTCTGTTTAAAAAGTCCATTTATAATTGAAATGATGTTTTTTAGTTTCTGTTATTTTTTACTTTAACGTTGCAGAATGGTTATATTAGAATTAGTTCACCAGTGAAAAAAATACAGTTAGCAAAGTGTTGAAATGAGGAAATGTGTGAAAAAAAAGTAAAGAGAGCTCTGTGAGGAGGGAAGGAGTTCAGAGTCCAAATGCTTAGAGCGGTCCTTTTTCCAGCCAAGTTAGTTGACATGATGTTATTTTCATAAAAACCTTGTTTTGATTACATGGTGTGGATTGGTGGTCTTGGTCCTTTTAACTAAGGGTAAAAATCCACGATAAAATTAGATTTCTTGTTGATCATCTTTTGCAGAAGGACTGAGGATTCATTGGTTAAGAACCGCTAACCTGTCCTCTAGCCTCCAGGGCGTGAGCACTGAAAAGGATTAAGGCCCACTGTAGGGAAGCTTGCACTGAAGCCTGCACTGCCCTTTCCCCTGTTCTTTCAGTTAAATAGAAGGTTGTTCGTTCCCATGACTATCAATCTGGTGCTTTTCACAAGCACCAAATTCTTTTAAGAAAATTGATTATTTTTAGATCCACTGGCCTAGAACACTGAAAGATGATTTTTTTTTTTTTTTTAGTATTTTCTGTTGATAGACCCTGTACATACTGTTTTTTTCTGAGGCATATTAGTTTCCTTTAATTTATGTAGATTTGGTGATCGATAGAAATACTTAAAAAAATCAAGGACAGGTTTTTATATGGTTAAGTTTGTTTGCTCAGTAATAATTATAGAGTTTGGCAGTGTTTAATCTTACATTTTGTTATAAATAGCTATCTGACAACCCTGTGGACATAAACTCTTAACTTTTATTTCTAGAGTACTCAGTAATAAGGTACTTTCTTCTCATCTTTAAAGGCTCTTAAATAGATTTTTATAAATGCTGGTGTCATTTTTTAAAATCTTTGCCAAATTGGTGTTGTATTTAATCATGAAAATATATTTTGATTTTGTTAACTGAAAATAATTGCAAAGTGTTAAACATTCTCAGTAGTTAAAGCTTCCTGCGCCCCCCCCCCCCCATTTAATCTGAGCTTTTGTTGTTACTAGCAAATAATTTGTGGTACAGTTTCTTTTTTTTTTTAATGACTGTTACAATCTATATACTTGTCATCTTAGTGTGCTAGAAATGTTCCACTCAGATCAAGAGTTCCTTTCTGGTTTTGTATGTTCTCACCTGCTCCTCACTGTAAATCATTGAGATGTCAAGTGCAATGATTAATTAAGCTGCACGTGCATGTGCTTTTTTTTTCACCTGTCAAGCAGGAAAGAAGTCTTATATCAATAGCAAGATTAGATGCTGCAAATTCAGAGCTATTACTCCAGACTGTCAAGTGTATAAAAGTATTTTGTATTTAGATGCTTATTTGGAATATGGCATGCCACCATTTGTTTGGTTTATAATTCTTAAATTTTGTAAGATACATAAAATCCTGTCATTAAACTTCCAGTTAGAAGCAAAGGATAAATTTGGCATTTCTACATAAATATTTTGGAATTTAAGGTTCATACTTTATACTTGTCTTTTATTCACATATGGGTAGTTGATTTGAGTTATTTAAAGTAAATATTTTAAATTTCTAAATTGATGTGTGTTTGTGTGTATGTATCATATACACCATGAGATCCATTCATAATGTTCTTGTTATAGTATGGGTTTAAATTTGTGATGAATGATTGTGGAAACTACACTTTTTTTCTGTGTGTAATGAGTATTTGCAGAATATAATGTTAAACTTTTAATTTTTATATATTAATATGAAACAACAGACTTGAAAGCTTGTTCTCCTCACTCTACTTCTTTCATACCCCCTGCCCCCTTTTTAAACATCAGCAAAAGTAAAACCTCAAATTGTATAGTAATCTTAATCTATTATTAAAAGGTCCTAGAAAGGAAGATTACAAGGTAGATTCAGGTTTTGAATCGGTTTTGCCATTGGTTTAGCAGCGGGTGGGCAGGCAGATGCCTGCTCAGAGTAGAACCTATTGCCATTTTTCACCATTGATAGAGTAGCCTTTCAGAGTCAATGAGCTCTGTCAATGTGAGCTTGTCAAGGCTACAACTTCATAGACCTGAGAGGCGGTTTGAGAGGTCAGCCCTTTTCAGGTTCGCTGTGATGCAAATGAACTTTAATGCTTAAACAACTATTGGAATTTTTATGTCTGCTCCTTGTTCTTTTTTCTTCACAAAGTCATTGACGAGACATTCAGTGCTTTTTAAATTGGAAGTTGCATTGTGCTAAAGACCTAGTACAGATTTACGGAGGGCTGAAAGCAGTTAGATCATGTTCTTTTCATGGTGCGATTAGAATCAAATCGATTTCCCTACAGCCTTCAGCATTCAGATGGCAATTTTAACAAAGCTTGGGGGCTAGACAAGGGACAAAACGACTGAACTGAATGTTAATTACACTCTGCAGCCTTATTTTCTTTTGATTTGGGGCTGACTGGCAACTAAATTAACAAAAAGTGTGACCATAACTGCTGCCCTATTTTCATTTAAAAGGAGAGCTGCCTCTAAAAGGCTATCTTTACAAAGAAACAAGTGAGGTCTGCTGATCATTGTTAACAAGGGCACTTTTTTTCCTTTAAAATTCTTGCCAAAAAAACTGTTCAAAAAAGTAATGTAATAAATTAGTCATTGGCATATTATTACCCAGGGAGTTAGTTGAGTTTCTGATTTTTATGACATAAGCTTGGAAAATGTAAGGCAGTAAGTGGTAGTTATGAATTATAATTGGCACCTCTGTGACTGTGGTGTGTCTTTAGCATGTTCCACATGTTAAAAGGTAATATGGTAACTAGATTATAGTAGATACTTTAAATAGATATTAACCATTTTATTATGTAACATTAGAGTGTTCAAAATCAGCTTGACCATAACAATTTCTCACCTTGCTCATCTTTGTTTGATAGGCAGATTTTCATATTTGATGATTAGTACTTACTTAGTTGTGCCACATTAATGGAGCTGGATGCTTTTTTCCTTTCCTTGCAAGGAAGCTGCAGCTGCAGCAAGTTGCATTTGCTTCTTGTGGCAACACTGTCCTGTTTGCACCTGCAGCTGTGTCAGTCTCATCCTGGCACCTGGCACCATGAATTATCCTCCTCTTTATTCCTCCTCAAGCAAGAAACATTTCATGCTGCATAGTGTATACCGCAAAAATCAAGTGACCTTCACTATAAATTTCTTAGTTGATTTCTTTAACAGGTAGTATTGAATAAAGTTTGATTTTCAAATAAAACCAATTTAATTTGAAAACCAATTTAATTTGATTGGATTAAATGCAGTTTTGCCTCTGAAAATCTTTGTGGAATAATAAATAAGCTTAGCTTTTAAATTTGGACTTTATTTTTAAATATGATATAAAATTATTTTGATTTGACACAGATTGATATTTTTTATTAACTTTTATTAATTATTTCCTTTTTTTAGACTAAAGACCCTTTTCATTTTGTTAATGTATAAATAGCTTTGTTTTAAAATATGTATTAAGGTATTCTTATTACTACTAAATATTAACAGAAATGTTTTTGAAAGCAATGGGGATTTCAATTTGTATTTTTTGGTGGATAACATTAGCATTTTAGACTTAAATAAGAGACTAGTAAGTTTGAAACAGTTAAAAAATACAGTGCTGAAAACCAAAACCGTATATTTGTCAAAACAGTACTATTTCTGTTCAGGCTACTGTTTATTGCTAGAATGTTGCTCGTGCTAGAGACCACTCTATACTCAGTCACTGTCTTATACCTCTTTCCTTTTCACACAGAAAACAGCTGCAAAACCAAGTTTTTCTAAAACCAGTCAAGAGTAAACTTTTTTCTCATTTGTCTTCTAGACACGAAGATCGATTGAGAAGTTATTAGAATGGGAAAACAATAGGTTATACCACAAGGTGAGTACCACAGGGAGCAGCTTCGTACTGTTGGGGTCTGAGCTGCACAGTATGGAAACAGATGCTTTTGTTGAACTAAAAATATGAAAGATGGACAAATGGGTTAGTCTGTGTGCTGCAATAAAATAGAGCTCATTTTTCTTCTTTTACTCTCCTACTTGTCTAGCTGTGCTTGCACTGGAGACTGAGCAAAAGGAAATGTGAAACGAATAACATGATGGAATATGTAAGTTAAAGGGCTGTTTTGTGAGTTTCTCTATTAAATGATCATTTATTTTGCTTCTGATCTTATTCTTTCCATGATTATTAATCAGCAAAGGTGTCAGAAGCTTAATCTCCTGAGTGCAAGGATTTTCTACGGTTCACAGATGCATGGTTTCATGTGCAAGACTGATTTATAAAGTTATGAATGACTTGAAAACAAGGCTTCACTGTGTTCTGAAAAATAATAAATTAATTGCCAAGATAAAATAGGCTGAACATGTGTTGATGGAGTGTGAAATTTTAGATGCTGTATAAAGAATAACCACAACTTTGGTTACGCAGCAAGTCAGATATGGCTTTATATAATGCTAATCAGGTTTCCAAGTATGGAAGAAAACCTTTCAGCCAAGCCGCTGGAGCTTAAGAAACCTTTAGCCTTTATAGATTTTAACTGCCCATACCTCAGTGGCCTTTAAAGAAACTTTCAAAGTGTTGTTGGAATATTATTCTGTAAAAATTATCTTAAAATTAAACAGGAAATAAGATATTGCTCACCCTGTGTTTATTCTTTAAAAGATATCTAATGGGTATGTGTATACAGTGAATTTTAGAGCTTAGAATAGGATTTAATTTACCAACTACTTGATTTACTTGAAAATTTTTTCTCAGTTTGAAAAGTTCAGAATACTATAGAAAAAGTATGAATCTTTATTCTCCTTTGAGCCTGGGTGTTTTATGTTAAATATGAAAAGATTAATATATGAAAAGAAGAAGATCTGAGCACAGAGTTAAGTATCTAACACATCATTTCTGACAGATTTTGTCTCTTCTTTGACATAGTATAGCCATCATAGGTAGCGTGTGTGTGTGTGTGTGTGTGTGTGTATAAAAGATTAATGAAAACAGTGCCTGGATACTGGAGATAGTTGGAAATTATCATAAAATCACTTTTCTCTATAACATTTTCTCTTTCTTTTCGTTATCACACAATCAAATCCCATTTCTAGCCTTGAACATAAAAGATGTCTTTAAAATGCTTTTTTTCATAGAATAGCTCTATTCAGTTAACTAAATAATGTATTTATCATTATCTATTATATCAAACATGTTAATTTATGATGGTAAAAAGGCACTTGATACTTTTGTATAATAATAAAAGCACATTCAAATAACTTGTTTTGAGATTGACCTATGAAAATACTAGGCTTGTATTTTCATCATAGATGAAAACTCACTGGTGAGAGAGTTTATGTATTTTGTGAGAAGGCATAGATATGTAAGTGATTTAAAGGATTTTGTGAAAAAACATTTGCTATATTTATAAACCCAAACACTCAGCTTATTAATAAAATAGAGGCTTTTACTTATTTATTTAGCACACTTCTAAATTTACTTTGGAAAGCAAAGCATAAAAGTATTCCCAATACTACTATTTCCAGATAGAACTATAAGATCATTCATTCATAAAATATGCTCATTCTATTTAATGTTTATTTTTATGATGTTCTAGTATTAATTAAAATAATTTAACCTTCCAAAACATTCTGAACTTATTTGCTCTGTAAAATATGTGCTCTTACTGCTCTGTTAATTTGTCATTAATTTTTAGATAAACACTTTTGTACTAAAGCCATTATATTTTCTTACCATCATAGAAGGTATCTAGAAGAATAGTTTTTAAAAAACTTAAAAATTACTTTAAAATGTATTTCTCTTCAGTTTTCTTGGCGTGTGTGTGTTTGTATGTGTATTTATGACAGTTGAGTGGAGTAAAAACAATTTTAAAAACTCCCTAAAAATAGTTTTGCAAAGATAGAAATAATCTGTATATCTGTTTGACTTCACATTTTCTTTAATTTACAGAAATTTCATTTGTTAGTTAAAGGGAAATATTTCTCCTTAATTATGTTTTGAATATTGGTGTAAATCTATGAAATATACCAAATTTTCTTTTATTCAGATATGGCAGAAGAAATGAGAGAAATGGTTAACTTCTGTGTATGGCTTCTGAAGGGAAAAAGTTTGTAGGATATAGTCTTTTAAAACTAGTAATAATTCTGATAGTCAAAGATGTCTTTTACTATTCACTGTGCAATATATACTGGAAAATATAATTTAGTCATCAAATTTTAGAGCTACAAAGAATCTTGCCATCTCTCCAGTCCTTTCATTTTATAGGTGAGGAAACAGAAACAGAGGGCTCTAGCTCAAATACAGAAGCTGGGTAGGAAGCTAGCGAACATTTCATGGGCAAATAGTGGGTCAGGAGCACAGGGGCACCGAATGATGAGTCAGCTAGGGGAGCAGTATCCTGGAGCCGCGTATGGAAATACCTTCTTTATTGAGACAGGCCAAAAATCAGGAGAACTAAAGAGTGAAAATGAAGATCTGTGGCTCAGATGGTTAAATGTAGAAAAGTATCCAAACCTAGAGGTCATATCAAGACAGTTTCTAAAAAGACAGGAGTTCCTCAGACTGGAAACTGTTCAAATTGAATAATTTTTTGTTTAGCATCCATTCCATACAGAGTTCAAACAACAGGGAAAATTGATTATAATTTAAGGCAGTCCCAAGTTTGGAATAAAAATTAGCTCTGGTCAACTTGTGTCTTTCTGTGTTACTGTGTTATGTTTTTTGATTGATTTTCATTTAGTTTCCTAGTGAAAAGTCCTTTGGAACAGATATTAGCCTTTAATTTTGCTAGCCTAACCTTTAATTCTGCTAACCTGAAAAGAAAAGAATGTTCTTAAAATATTAAGAGAGAGAGGACCAACACTTTGTCTAGAGATCACATGTCCTGATACAGTAAAATGAGAACAGCTCTAGAACCTAAAGACCCATGGAACTAGGCTGTAAATAAAAGGGAGAAAGCCTGTGGAGCTGAATATTAGGGTCAGCTGCAGCCACCATAGGGGAGTAGAAAGGTCAAGGCTTTGGAGTTAAGACAGTCTTTTGTTCATATACTAACTCCATAATCTATGGTGTTATACTTCTCAAATCATCAGGTTTCTCATCTGTAAAGTGAGTATGATAATACTTGCCTCAGAGAGAATTGTCGGGATTAAATAGATGCATATAGTATGAAATACTTGGTATGTAGTTAGCTCTCAGTGAATGCTAGCTCCCTTTTCTCATTCATTCATGCATGCATTCTCCTGTTTGTCAGAGGCACTATAAAAATTGTTTTAAGTGATGAAATATAACTGAAGTTTTTTTAAGATAAAATTTTAAAGAAATCCTTTTAAAACTTGTTTTCTCCTCTTACAGGTCATCCTCATAGAATTTTTACCAAAGACACCGATTTTTCGACCAGATTAGCATTTACTTTATTTATAGAGACTTTCCAAGTATGTTGTCTTTCCAATGGTGCCTTGCTTGGTGCTCTCCTGGTGGTGACATAACATTGGTTCTACAGAATTGTGTGGTGTTTTTTTCTGTTTTTTTTTTTTTTTTTTAATAACCGCATGTTCTAAGTGTGCATTTTTGTCCAACTTTGCAACAGTTATTTCATACAGATGTTTAATACTTAAGTTATTGTGCTCTTTTCTGTTATGTATTCTGAATTTCAAGGATTACTTTTTTGTATTATCAAAAAAAAAATACATTTGAACTTAGCATAAAAAGTGGCCAGCTTTTTTATTTTACCACCAAGGTATACACAGTCCTTTATTTATTAATTCCTTAATATAGAAAAAGACCTTTGTAAGGCTCTACTTATCTATTATTCTAGCAAGCACACTCTGTATTATTTCTCTTGCTTTTAAAATTTATTGTCATTATTTTAAAATAGTGTTTTCTTTCATAGCTTTTTGAACCATAACATATTCCTTCTCATACAATTCCTAATGCTATGTTTACAGCAGAAATATCTGTAACATTATAAAGACCTGTCAAAAAGTTTTGAAAGTATTTCTGTCTTCAAAAGTTGTAAGGCAGGATTAAATTATTTTCATTAGAATAGACAAATCAGTGAATGGTATGCATGCATCTAATGTTTACTAGAGCTCAGGATCACAAAACATAGTAGCATTACAATCTGTATATTTTTGATCAAGGTATTAATAATGGCCTTATTTGGGTTATTTTTTATTGTTTTATCAAATCTTATGTACAAAAGTATAGAAATACTAGAAATACTCCTTTAAAAAATTTCTAAGGAAAATATCTCCCAATCTAACAGCAATTGTAGAATGCATATGTGCTGAAAAGTTTTTGAAAGAAAACAAACATTACAGAATTAAACTCGTGTTTAATATCCCATTGATATTTAAAACAGATTATCACTAAGAAATGGAGGGCATATCTAGTACTGTTTAAATCCACTAGTTTGCTTTCAGTCCAGTTATGTATGCTTTTTGATTAAGAGTATGATATACAAGTTTGAGTCAGATCAGTTTGTTTCTTTAAAATATGTACAGGCATACCTTTTTTTTTTTTCCTCCTCCTTTTGGTTGTACATATCTCCATGCATTTTAAAACTTTCTAAATTTCTGAATGGCCTATGTGTAAATTTTTGTTTTTATAAACCTTGAAATTATACAAATTTTGTGTGTGTATACAACATGTTCCATACAACTGTGGTATCGAGCAATAATGTGAATAACTTTTGAAATTATATAAACTATGCTTAATTTGTATTAAGAATTGGTACCACTATATAATACTTTTTTCCTTGTATTAAATCTTTTAAATACCAGTTTCATTAATTTATATACCTGTATTTTTTAAAACTATTTCTTTGTACTTCTCCAAAGTACTGTAATTCTATGTGAATTTGAATAGTTTAATGACATATCCTATATCAGATATTAGGAACTATCTTAAAAATTAGGATTTTTGGAGAAGGGTGTGTCCTGAGATTTATTTGTTTCCTTTGCTTCCCAAAACACCAACTTGAATTTATAAAACACTTTTCCTATGAAGAGCTCAAAGTACAGAGAATTCATACACTTCTCATTTTATTTACTTTGTGTCTTGGATATGTCCTATCCTTAAAGTAGTGCAAATTAAAAGATAATGCTATTCAGAAACTCTAGTATTCCTCTGTGGTTTTCCTGTAACAAATTATCTTATGGAGAACACTAATTTTGCCTCAGGAGAATTCCAAAAGAACAGAAAAATATGACTGTGTAGACTGTGCAGCACAGCTTTCCAAATCTGAAATTGTGTAAATTTGTGGAGCATCATGTTAATCAGCTTTATAGGAAGAACTGTATCCATTTAGGCATAATTCTTTTCTCCTGTTATTCTTCTATAAATTGTAATCTTAAAATTATTATATTCCCATAAGAATATTAATATTTTTAACAGGATAGTTTTCATACTTGATAATGTTAAGTATAAGCTTTTAAAATATTTTCCTGATTTTATTGAGAAATATGTTGCCTAAAGATTCCCTGGAAATGGGCACTCATATTTCTAATGAATGTATGGAAAAGAGCTGTGAATGCTTAATATGTGACATTACCATAAGCCAGTTATGCTTTGAGCAGTTAGGTTTCCATGTTTGGATTTTCATTAATAGCCCCCAGTGTAAGCCCTTTGGTTTACCCTTTCTTGAATCATTAAGTGTCCAGGTTACTGGAAATTAGGAATGTCAGAGATGCCTGCGTTATATGAACATTAGTCCAAAGGAAATGTTTTAAATGATGATCTTTAGTTTCTGTTTTCTAACTTAAAGTTTGTGAGACATGGACCATAGCACATAATTATAAAAATGGCCAAGAAAAGGTATTATCAGCAGAAAATCTAATATATAGATTTTACATAGGTTAAGTGAATATCTTATGGTCTTCATTCATATGTTACTGGCATTTTACAATTAGTCCAACATCCCTTTGTAGAAACATTCCTTTTTCAAACAGTGTACTTTGCAAACCCTCTTATATTTTAGTACATGACTTTTGTATACCTGAATTAAAATATATGGTTATCCAAAATCTAATGACTATAGTAAAACTGAAGTAACATTTAGCTTTTAAGGTAAATATGCCCCTCTCTCACAACCTTACTTACATAAAATAGTCCTCAGATGCTCTATTATGACTCTTTAATGACTAGGTTTCATCCATTTAAAATATAAACATGTAATTTTGGCCTGAAATCAAGAAGTGTTCAACCTTGAAAACTAGTAAGCAGTGATTTCTTTTCCTTACCAGAGAAGCTGGTTTTGTAATTGAATAATTTAAAATCAGGAAGGATCACAAGTTTCTCCATAGTTGTATTTTCAGTGTTACATATAGAGAGCTTCCAATTGTCCCTTTATGTTAATAGACACAGACCAACCCTATAAAATATTGACAGCATTTCATATCAATCTTTAGTTATAAAATAAAGATATTAAGTAGTAACATGTGCAGTTGGATCCATAACTACATCCATAGCTGCATGATTTCAAACTACACTACTTTTGTTTTGTTATTGTTGTTCAGTCATTCAGCCATGTCCAACTCTTTGCGACCCCGTACTTTTATTTGGTATTATATATATAGACTATTTCAACTTTTATGGTAATTGCTTCACTATTATAACCATTAGCTGCTTGCCAATGTTTCACTGTAAATATTTGCTTTGGCTCAACTCTTGGTCACTAGTACTTAATCAGAAGTACAATGTGTTTAAAACTGTCTTTGAATTCTAGCATTTAGTCCTGGACTCTCTTTCAAGCTTCTCCTATCCCATTGAAGTATTATGGGTCCTTTTGCTGCCCTCCTGATGTCCAGAATCTTCACCCAGGTGTGGACATAGTTCAGAATTGCATTTCTATCTTCCTTACTCAAAGCTCCCAGTAAGAATGTTAATTTTTTGGCACTGTTAGCTAGGTGTTTAGAAAGCCAATTAAAGTGAGTCAGTGACATTAAGTGATGAATGGCTGACACTCTGAATTCTACTAAAGTGGTACTTACATTTTTAAAAGGGAATCTCTTAACTTAAATTTTCAATTGGTTTTCCTTTTCAAAACACCCTATCACTCTGGACTTTCCCAGGAGCGAAGTAGTAGAATGGTTGCATGCGAGGCTTCTCAAACCACTATTTCTGAAGAAAACTGATTTATGTCTAGTAGTAGGGGGGAAAGAAAAGGCTCAAGACCAATCCCAAACCAAACTAGTCATTATTCCATAATAGTTGGTATTAAGTAAACGCAAACTATTTTTTTAAATAAAGAAATTCTTAATTTTCCATAGATATAATTGCCAACTGTATGTTGTTTTTAGGATCAGACCTTTTGTAGAAGTTGAGGTTTAAAGGAGATTTATCTTTGAGATCTGAAGGAGATCTTGAGTTACCTTGTTCTGTACTTTTATAGACTTTTTAGATAGTTTAGCAGAAGTTTAGCTAGTGTTTACATTATTAGTTATAATTTTGTGTACTTGATTCTGCTATAGGAGCAGAATCACCCCCACCCTCACCGCCTCACCTTGGTAAATTAAAACAACAGAGATTGATTGTAGCTTTAATAGACAGTAATGAAGACAGAAGTTCAGATTACTAAACTTGATTTTGAATTGATTTCTCATGTTCTGCAAGATCAAGTTTACTTGGCCTCTTCGCCTTTCATTTTCATGGAAGGATACTATGACTACCTCATATTTTTTAATCATTTATTTTGCTGTTGTTTATTATGTCCTGTATGGAAATAAGATGTTTAATAGTAATTATTGAGTAGCTTTTTAAACTTATGATATCAGCAGAAACTTGAGTTATCAAATTTTGCTTTTAAAATTGAAGAGTTAGTATAGTGAGTACTCTCTGTATATACTTAAAATAATGTTTGCTTATTTAAAAATCAGGTAAACATTAAATATAATATTTGAGAAAAATTTCTTTCTAATAAGACCTTTTAAAATATATCTCTGATATTTAAGCAAACTTATGCCTTTGTTTTGGTGTGTTTTAACATTCTACTTCATAAACATGGTGCTCTGAATTTAAGAATTGACAACTTTTTTCTCTTCATGAAAGATACATTGTATATTGCTTTCTTAGCTCTATCTCAGAAATATTTCATTGAATTAACTATACTAATTAATTCTCAACTTTGGCAGATAAGGTATCTATTCCTAAAAACAAAAAAAGGAAAAGAAAGAACCATAATGTCAGCCAGCCTTCAAGAGAAGAGGAGTAACAGGTCACTGTTTTGTCCACTCTCCTGTACTGGACCATAATGTACCCTTAAACTGCAGATATTTCTTTCCTATTATTTTTCCTACTGGTTCTTTATTTAGTAGGAGTGGTTAGATTTTAAACATTTTAGAAGAAAAGTATATTCTAGTTTGGCAAGAAACCTTTTGTACTAAATAAAAGACCACCTCCTCTTT